GCCTCGGGCCGAAGAGAGCACTTGGTCGACAGTGATGTCGGGCACTTGGCTTTGCAGAGGGGGCCCGAGCGGGACCAAGCCAGGAAGGGCAGGCTGGCTGGAGGGATGCTTGGCACGCATTTTGTCGAGGACTCCCGCATCATCATGGCTGAGGAGAGGCGGGCTGAGGAGGGCATTACAGGCCTGGGAAAGCTCCCCCTCAGCCGCAAGCTGCTTGCAGCACGCTTGGCGTACAACATCATCATCGTCCTGTCCCGCAGGCCGGGGGAGGCGGGCGGCAAAGGGCTCCCAAAGCTCCTCCCGCTCCCCTTCAAGCCAACACGTATCCTGCAGGCATTTTTCCTCCCACAGCACAGCTGTGCAAGCTGCTCAAATCCCAAAAGCCCTAAGCCCCAAAGCCCTTCAAAGTTAAAGCCAAGTGGAGACTCTAAAAAAGGACTAAAGAACAAAAATCAAACTCAGCATAATGGATAAGACTCAACTATAACTATCTACTGCGAGCATCCCTTCCGTAAACTGTGGTTGTCCAGCACTTGGGGGTTGGTGACCGATTCTGGTTAATCTTACTCAGCCAATCTCCTGGCTCATAAAGATTTAAGCTTGGGTATGGAACCTTCATAGGGCCTCTTACACAAGTTTATAACGCCTTCATGTCTGCTTGAAGCGGGGGGGTTTCTGGGGCTATATCGGGTCTCTTACAAAGCTCACCACTAAGGCCTAATAGTGTCCGCTTAGGGGGCTTTTTCGGGTTATATAGGGTCCCTTGAAAGGGGGTATAAGTATAAGGCCTGAATAAGGTCCTCAAAGGGGTCATCAGGGTTGTAGAGGGTCCCTTTCCGGTGGATTAAAAGGCCTACATAGGGCCAATGTTAAGGTCACGAGGCCTAAACAGCGTCCCTTTCAAGGGGCCATGAGAACGACACAGGGTCCCTTAAAAGGGGTTGTAACACCCACAAAAAATCTTTTTGAAGGGGTTGTAAGGGCTGCAATGGGCCCCGATTGTAGGAATACTGTGGGGGATACTGTGCAGTTGGGCACTGCAGGGAAACGCTGCTGTTGTGCATTGCAGGGATACTCTGCTTCTGTGGCTGGGCACTCCAGGGAAGGATACTCTGCGGTTAGGCTCTGCACGGAGGGCAAGGAAAAAATTGACTCCTTAAGATCTATCCACCAAACTTGGAGGGTGGGAAATACGAAACAAACACTCGCTTTCATGGTGGAAAAAGCATGACACACTCCTACAACTATGGCCTACCGTAGAGAGCAAAATGAACAAGTTCTCGAAGAGGTATCAGCCTGCCAAGCGAAGGATACCAGGAGCACACCCGCACTCATGGTTTTCAGAACACGCATGCAATTGCACCAACTTGAACCTTCGTTCTCTGGTCAAAAATTAGAACGTGAAGGTGTTTGCCAAGTTTTGATCAGATTCCGCAGGGATTGAGTTTGCTTGGTAAAATGTGTGGGGGGTTGGGAGTTGGGGGAGGGCTCAGCCCTGCCGTTTGCAAAACATGTAGGAAGATGAATACATGTAGTTTGTTGCCAAGTTTTTCAAAGACTTGCCGCGTGTTGAGTGAGTCTCTCAAATGGTGGGGCCGACTAGCAAAACCTTGATGAAGAAGAGAATGTGTCAGTTCTTGCTGAATCTTTTAGGTTTGCGTTTTTGCTTTTTCCAAATGGTGGGGTTGCAGCACATGAAAGAACAAGTGGTGGTTGGGGGTTGGGAAGCGCAAGCCCCAGCCCCTGCAGGATCAGAGATGCGGGCTTTGTGGCTTTGTAGTCGCTTTCAACCATAGTAGGGGGTGGGGCAGGACATCCCTTCCATCCATGCGTATCTCTTCTTGATTGATGTGCTTCCCTTTTGCCTTGTCGCTTGCCTTGCTTCGGTTTTCAACATTTGTAGTTCGTTCTCCTGCTTCTCTGAGAGCTCCAGTGGTCACTCCGACCAGCGGGGCCCCGGATGAACACTTTGCATGTCCTAGAACCCCTTGCTGTGAAAGTCAAGTGCTCTAGGATCTGTAACGAGCTCGCCCGCTTCTTGCGTCTGCCGTGAAACTTAGATCACCTAAATCAGTTTGTCCTGGCTTTGCTGCTTTCTTTCGTTGGTCATAATGTTTTTCTATTGTTCTATCTTTCGTTCCTTCCTGCTTTCTTGCTGTATTTGCTTTATCTTGCTGAATTTGGCTTTCACTGTTTCTTGCTTTTGTTCGTTCTTTGGTTTGTTATTTTCCCGCTTGGGTGTGGCGCATGCAGGAGAAAGCGGGTCCAAAAGCAAGCCAGCACATCTCGAGCACACGCTTTTTGAGCGAAACAAATTCTGCGAGAACGAGCGCTGGAAAGCACAAAATAGAATCAATCGCTGTCGGACGTGATCTATGGAGGCTGTCAACGAGAGCTAGATCTCGGGCACTGCCACGCACCAGAACAACGGTCATGAAGGAAGCTTAGGCAAGACTCACATACTAGCAACTCCCCATATATCCAGCCGAGAAACCCAACCTGAAACCACTATTGCTTGCACCAGAGAGAGACACAGCACCCACAAAAAAAATAGTATCATTGCGCTGAATCAACGCGCAGAAATCGCAACCAACAGAAGAAACCCACTCTAGTCATCTGTTCTCCAGCAGGCTTGCATGGATTAGTCGTCACTTCGCATCCCCTATAATTCCGTACGCAAGTTAGGGTCAAGTGTCCATCCGCACTTTCCTCGGCGTGTGAGGCACGTAGCTCTGGCCGCCGAACGCCTTTCGGCACATGCCAGAGCCACCCATTTCCGTGCATCTTTCCTTCCTTGTTTTCTTGGTATGCTGTCATTCTCTTGTTCTGTCGCTGCTTCTTTGGTTTGTTCAGTTTGTTCTTTATTTCTCACTTATTATTCCGTTCTTTTGTTATGTCCTTCTGCTGTTCTGTGCATTTTTCACCTGTTCTCTGCCTTTTGCTTGTACATTCTTTCTTCTCTTCAGGTTCACAGAGCTCGAACGCCCCACCAGGGCAGCGCCCTGACTGAAGTACAACCACAGCCACATATCAAAGAGCTTACTTAGCAGATCTTAGCAGTAACATGGTCTCTCCCATTTCAACTGCCAATCTTCATATGTGGCCCCAGTTCAGCCCTCCTTCCTTCTCCATCTGGTGGTGACGTGGCTCATACCGCCTCAACTGTATTCTTCGAAAACATCTTTCATGGAATGGGGAACCATTGGAACCTAACAGAAGCCAAGAGGTTACGACGCTCCAAGACTTTGACTAGAAGTGTGAGAACGCTCCACCTGACGTCGATTTCGACCGCAGATATGAGAATGCACCACACGAGAGCTTGAGTTTAAACTTTTTTGTTTGAGGCCTGATTCTTCTGTTTAATTCACTGATGGATCAACGGGTGCTCCCAATTCATGCACTGCTAAATGTGCGTATCAGGAAATCACAAGTGCCCAGCCCCCGATGCCAGGATGGAGTCCCTCCGCGATCGCACTGGTCGCTTCTGTCCCTGCTACTTTGACAGTGCTGAAGAACAAACTGCGGGACAGTCAGCCCAGCCTCATTGCTTTGCCACCAGGGCTCTAAGATGGCCAGGCCTGCAATCCACTCGTCTTGACTGAAATGCCAGAAGCTTACGTCAAACAGCGCCACCTTCATCACCGTGATCTTCAACCTGATTGACTGCTGGAGGCACCGCAACTTGCCTGCAAGCAGGGCCCTGGCGAAGGCAGTGCCCCTCGTCAGAGATGGCTGCGATCTCGTCTTTTCCTCACGGTCATCTTGCTCAGCTTGAATCTCGCAAAGGCATTCTTCTGAGTGCCGTCTACAGTATTGTATGGGTCATCCAGCCTTACTGTCATTCACCGGACTGGCCGGGCTGCTTGTCACGACCCCTTGCGTTGGTGCCTGCAAGTTGCGATGCTCTTCGAATGCTTGCTCCGCAACAGATCAGAGCGTTCAGATCCAACCTGTTGCGCAACATGCTGCAGCGAGTCTGACAGGATGTCCAAAGCAGTTTCCTGCAAAGGCACAACTGTTGATGAACAGTCTCGATGGCTGCCGCATGCAACATTTCGGCTGCGAGACCCACAGCAAAAACATAGCTATCCTGACGCACCAGAGCTTCTCGAAGAATGGCATGATCTGCCTCTAGTCGCCTTGCCAAAGTCGAAATAGCATCAAACATGGGGCCCGCAAGAGGTCTCAACATGCTGGGCTTCACTCCATGTGATTATGAGCAGAACTTGCCCATGACTCACACCGTCCCCCCATGCCAGCCTGACGACCGAGAGAGGAGCGGCCAACTCCTGCACTGCACATATCATAGAAGGAAATTGCTGAAGCAAGACACGCATCTCCAAGAAAGCGCGCCAACCGAAACGAGACACTGGATCTGAGATCAATGGACGACGGACTTGCTGTTGCACGCGCTACGCTGGGCGAAATGTGACTGCAAGAAAGCTCAGAAATGGAAAGCCGGCAATGATTGTAGGTTCGCTGACTAGTTCCGGCCTCCATCAGGTACAGTGGCGAAGGTTTTGCAGCCAACTTTCCCTGCAAAGATCTGCCAGACAAGCACATGCGACAGGAAGAGAATGGTAGCCGTGCCTGAGGTTGTTATGGGGCATGCAGCATTAGAGCATGACGTTGAGCTGCAGCGAGGGCTGTTACTGGCCGAATGTTATGTACGCCTCTGTGTGACTAAGACTTGGGTAAGACCTCTCTCTCAACAGCCCGCTGGAGAAGAACAGCTGAATCCAACAGGTGCTTCTGGTTTCATGAAGACTTGGCACGTCGCAGTCGAAGTACAAGAAAGATCCCAACATGCTGACGCTTGTTTTCGTGCCAGCTGAAAAAGCTACTCCGGTGACTGGTCTGCAGCAAGGTGCGAGCTTGGCGGCACACACCAAGCTTATTGCTAGACTCTACGCTTTTAACTCTAGATAGAAACACAGACTGGTGAAACGTAATGGCAAATGATGCCACCGCAGTTGATCCAGCAGGCTCTCGTCTGCTCGTTACTTTTTCTTGTCCTTCTTCAGGGACGCCGTGGCAGTAAGGCTCGGCCTGCACCGGGAACAAGCAATTCCAAACTATCTTCGCTCAGGTCACTGAACTATCTAAAACAAGAACCCTCAACTCGCTTCCTGGTTACGTTTCCAAAAGAACGAATCGATTGCGAGATACTGCGTTTGACAAAATGGGTACTTCACCCACCTGTATCTTGTGAAGCTCTTCTGTCGTCGCCAGTTCTTCGGGAAAGTCTTCACGTACTCCACATCACGCGCATACTTTCGCTTGATTCTGCTGGAAACACGGTTAACAGGCAGCTTTTCATCCAAAGCAGCTGTGTACTCATCACTTGGCTTGAGGCGGTCGTAAACCTCTTTGATTCGATTGATGGCATTGAGCTTGGAGCTGTAATCCCAATTCTTTGAGCGCTCCAATACTCTTATTGAGCGTACAACGTGAGCCCGCCACTTCGAGTCAGATGGTAAGGTATGGGCCACTCGTTGCAGCGTCGGATACCGCAAACGCGCTAGCTGTGATTGGAGTTCTGTTTCAGGCTGTGCAAACTTGGTACCTCCAGCAACTCCTCTGGGAACAGCACTCTCAAAGCCCACGTGATTTCGCCAAGGATGGTGTATGCCCTCAACCTGTTGAGCAGGAGGTTCGTCGACCAGGTTTTCTGGCAAGACACGTAAGAAGTCCTTTGCAGACGCATCTGACTCGATGGCTTGCAGCGCAGCATTGGCTGCCTGCAGCTTCTGGCTCAGTCTTTCCCGAGCATCGAAATGCCAGCGTACGTCCCCGCGGAAGGCGGCAAGTGGCTCCAGCACTTCTGCTGGCAGCGCCGCCTGCCGCCGCAGCTTTGTCAAGTCGGGATGCTGGTCCAGCAAACGGGGCAAACAGCGTTCGTCCAGCTGGTTCCGCACACACCCCTCGTGCAGAAGCCGCTCCATTCCACTACGCTTCATCATGTATGGATTCTCAAAATCTGCCAGCTCATGAGTCAGCACTGGCCTGTTCTGATCAGCATATTCTTTCTGCAAGGCTTTCTTCAGAACATCTGCCAGGCGATCTGTGCGGAAAGCCAGATGCTCACGCTCCGGGATGTCCTAGACAATGCAAGAGGCAGCAAGGAAGAAAAACAATTACGTGGCACAACCCTGATATCATTTTTTGGTGCGCGAATGCCTCACTGATAATACCAATGAGTTGCAGGCCGGTCCTCCTGCAATTTTCTGTAGAGTTGTCGATTATATTCGGCTTTCCAAAGATCCTCCAAGATTGACTGTTGCCGCCAGCTGCTTTGGAACTCCTCCTCCTGTCACACGGCACGGCCCATATCCATGCAAAACCTATGACAACGGCCCATAACATGCCGAATGAATTTAGTGTAATGGAGGCACCTCAGCTTCGTACTCCTCCTCTTCTTCCTTATAACCCTCATTTAGCAGTGCGTAATTCCGTCGTGCTCTTCGGCGACGGATAATGTCATACCGCTTTTGCAGGGACAGCTCTTCACCTGTCACGTGACGGCTGAACTATTTAACCTGCTCAAAAAAAAAAACACTGCACCCATTCC